TCTTTGATTCAGACGCAGTTAGATTCTCAAGTTCATCAAAACTCTCAGTTATTTTCCAACTTGTTCTATGACATTGTCTCTACAATCAGGAATGTGTTACGAGTAGAACACTTGAGTGTGCAGGATAGAGACAAATGGATGATGATTCCTGATATAGATTATCCTGTTGCTTCTAGATACAATGTTGTATCTGTTTCCATTTTCATGACACTTAACATCACATTTTCCCCTTATCATAGCTCCACCCGTATATACGAGTAGACATACAATCATTGATGTTGGTTTTATCAATTGCAATAATTGGGTTTAGGTAAAGTTGAAACCTGATTGCACATTACTTCTCGTCACTGACTGTTGGTGACAAAATTGTAATGATGATGTAAAACATGGGAATCAGCATATGCGAGTCACTTTAGACACTAGGAAGATCTGTGTAGCAAGTCATTGTAGTTTTTTTTTTCCGATTCTATTTTCCAAGAAAAAGTAATTAAAAAGGGGGGAAAATAAACTGCAATATTACCGGATATTTCAAAAAATTTCATATATTGTTACAACTCATTGGAAATTTGGAATTTTCGGTCTTGGAAATTTTAAAATTTTGGTATACCCCACGGTAAAAATCAGTAAATGTAATGAAATTTTTGGTGGTTTACGAAATTTCTGATATATACTTGTAAATTTCAAAAAATATGATATTCCGGTGAAGGTATTAATGTAAAAGTTCCAAAAAATGAGGACTATCAAGTATAAGTGTGGAGATAGCAGGTTAAATGCTCTCTTAATTACCTTTGGTATGTTAGTCCTTCTTACCTTTTGATAGAAAGATTAAATTGACTTGTACGAAAGAAAAAAGATATCAAACAATTGACCATTATTAGGGATGTCAACGGGGTATGAAATGTTAGAAGGATGTTTCCCGCTTCCCGCCCCGCCCCCAATATTATTCCCCATCCCCGTCCTCAATCCCCACCACAGAGGAATATTTTCCCCCATTCTCATCCCCACAGATCCCTATGGAGATACACGGGGATCGAATCTTGAGAAATTTTTTATATTTTTCGATCAAAACTATGACACTAGTATTTCATTATTTTTTTTCCTTTTTTAAAAAAAACACATATAAATATAATGAAATTTCCGGTGGTTTACGAAATTTATGATATATACTTGTAAATTTCAAAAAATTCGATATTTCGATGAGGGTATTAAAGTAAAAGTGCCAAAAAAGGAGGAGTACCAAGTATAAGTGTGGAAAAAATATGTTAAGTGCTCTCTTATTTACCTTTGGTATCTTAGTCCTTTTTACCTTTTGATAGAAAGATTAAATTGATTTATACGAAAGAAAAAGAGATCAAACATCTTACTAGTGACCATCATTTTTACCTAATTGAAAGAGTTAATTATCTAATCCGTAATTTTAAAGATTAAAATGATCAATCACCCTATAATATTCATTCTTTAATTATTTTAAAAACTATGATTAAAATAAATTATTTTTAATAAAATAGATTATTTTGAAAAAAATACCAAAACAATAGAAATGGAGGGATCTAGGAGGTCTCAGGGACGGCCACCGGAAACGATGTCTCTGATACCTACAGATCCTCCTTTGTTGGTGGCTTCGCCAGAGATGGTACCAGAGAATCAAGATGATAAAGCTGAGTCAGAAAATAACACACATGGACCTAATATTGAAATGGAATCGGAGGTAGGGCAAACCCTAAAGGAAGAACATAAAAGAATTGGGGAAAATCAGAAGTTATCGGTGGATGTTATCAGCGGGAATAGGAATCCAGCGAAAGGAAGATCCATGAAGTATGTTGCACCTAAGGTGGTGAATGACAAAGTTGAAATCGTGATTAAGGATAAAGATGTTGCATCGGAATTACGATTTTGGGAAAATGCATTGATTTTGTATGTGCTTGATGAAGACGTGAGAATGCATTCGACGATAAACTTCATGCTGAAGGCATGGAACTTTGTTCAACTCCCAGATTTGTACTACCACAATGAAGGTTACTTCATCCTCCATTTCAAGAATCATGATGAAATGGATGCTATTTTGATGCAAGGTTCGTACACAATCAGGAATATGCCGATTTTATTGAGAGAGTGGAGGCCAAATTTCAACCTCAAGAAAGATCTATTGCGTACCCTTCCAATTTGTGTTAAGCTACCTCAGCTTTCCCTCCATCTTTGGGGAGGGAGTAGTCTAAACAATATTGGAAGCGCCATAGGAGCACCGTTGGTCACAGATGAATGCACTACGCATAAGCTCTGGGTGTCCTATGCGAGGATATTGGTCAAAGTTGATATCACACAGAAGCTGCTCGACGAAATTACTATTACAGATAATAAAGGGAAAACAAGAGCGCAACCAATAGAATATGAATGGAGACCAAAGTTTTGTGATAAATGCTAGCAGATTGGTCATCATTGTGAAAACAAGCAGAAGATTTGGAAGTCAAAGCTAAGGAAGCAAGACAGTGGAAAACAGATTATCATTGACAATACACCAAAAAGGGATGAACCAAAGAATGCTGAAGAAGATGATGTGGGTATCCGGACAATGATCAATAAGGCTTCAAGAGAAAGAGGAAAAGGTATGGATCATGTTGAATCTTCTAATGTTGTACATTGCTTGAATGGATTTGGGGCTTTGGGGCTTTGAATGGCTCAGAAAATCCCTTTGATAGGGGGCCATGTTAGTTGCTTGAAATGTTAAGGGGCTAAATAAAGCTGGTAAGCTTAGGGATATTAGCTCTCATCTCCTAGAGTTACAACCTACTCTTGTTATACTTATGGGTGACAATTAAATCCATTAAGACAAAATTCATCCAATCCATCCACTAAAAAATTCATCCAATCCATCCACCAAATAAAAAGTAAGTTAATGGATTGGATTAAATCCATCCATTTATATACATGGATAAATCCAATCCATCCACAACATTTTGATGATCCAATGAATTATTTTTATATTATTATTATTATTATTTAAATCTAATAAATCTACTTTTTTTTAAATTAATAAAAACTTAATTTTTTTTTAAAATAAAGAAAACTATGTTATTCAGAATTTCGAAAAATCGAGTTTTTTTAGAAGATTGGGTTTTTTTTCCAGAAAATTGAAAAACCGAGTTTTTTCGGGATTTTTCATAAAATCGAGTTTTTTTCTTTTCGAAAAATCGAGTTTTTTTGGAAAATCAAGTTTGTTCGAAAAAACAAGTTTTTTTTTTCGAAAAATCGAGTTTTTTCAAAAAGTCAAAAAAACGAGTATTTTTTTTGGAAAATCGAAAAATCAACTTTTTGAGAAAATCGAAAAACGATTTTTTTGGGAAAATCGAGCTATTTCAGAAAATCGAGTTTTTTTTGGAAAATCGAGTTTTTTAGGAAAATCGAAAAATTGAATTTTTTTTCCAGAAAATCGATGAATAGAGGTTTTGTGGAAATTCGAAAAATCAAGTTTTTTCGGAAAATCGAAAATTCAAGTTTTTTCTGAAATACAGAAAATCGAGTTTTTTTGGAAACTGAAAAATCAAGTTTTCTCGGAAAATCGAAAAAAATTGAGTTTTTTCGAAAATATGGAAAATAGAGTGTTTTTTGGATAATCGAAAAATTGAGTTTTTCCAGAAAATCGAAATTCACGTTTTTTCGGAAAATAAAAAAATCGAGTTTTTTTTGGAAAATTAGAAAAATCGAGTTTTTTTGGAAAATCGTATTTTTTCGAATAATCGAGTTTTTTCGGAAAATCAAAATATTGGTTTTTTTTTTGGAAAATCGAAAAATCGAGTTTTTTAGAAAAATTGGAAAAATTCGGAAATATGTAAAAATCAATTTTTTTTGAAAAATCGAAAAATTGAGTTTTTTTTGAAAAATCAAATATTGAGTTTTTTCGAAAATACAAAAAAATCGAGTTTATTCGAAAATACAAAGTATATTTAAAATAAATAAATAGATACATTTAAATTAATTTTTTTGGATGGATGGATTGGATGAATTTTATTCTTAATGGATGGATTGGACTGAATATTTTTAAGGAAATTTTAGTGGATTGTTAATGGGTTAATGGATTATTTTGATCCATCCATTATTAATCCAATCCATATTCATCCAATCCATCCATTTTGCCAACCCTAGTTATACCGATTGAAACAAGGGTTAAAGAAGATAAAGCTACCAACATTAGGAATAAACTCAACTTGAAAGGAAAATACATGGACAATTACAATTTTCATGGCAATGGGAGAATATGGGTGGAATGGGATGATTCTAAAGTGGTTGTTAGAAATGTTAAAAGCTCAAGTCAATTCATATATTGTAGTGTTCATGATGTGACTGGAAAGTTTATGTACTGGGTAACTGCCATATATGCACACAACCAGTTGGAAAAAAGGAAAGTTTTATGGAAAGATTTGGAGGATATTCATAGGAACCAACAAGGACTCTGGTGTGCAGTTGAGGACTATAATAATGTAGCCAAAAGTCAAGACAAGATTGGTGGGGAAATGGTTACATAGGCTGAATTTGAGGACCTGCAGCACATGATGGATGTTACTAGTTTGTGTGAGATGGATAGCTTGGGAGAATTCTATACTTGGTCCAATAAACAGGCTGGAAGCCCTATTTACTCTCGCATAGATAGAGTGCTGGAAAACATGGATTGGTTTCAAGATCATAGTGAAGCTACTCTGACAAACCTGCCTCCTCATTTATCTGATCATGTTGTTATGTATCTTTCTGAGCCTGGTGTTGTGAGAAGAAAGAGGTAGTTTAGATTTAATAATTGTTGGGTGGATGCAGTTGGGTTTTATGAGATGGTGGAGAGAAATTAGGCTGAACCTACTAGAGGAACTCCTATGCAGAGATTAGGGGTTAAGCTTCAGAGACTGAGACCTTACTTGTTAAAGCTAAAGCAGGGTGGTACTGATATCCAACTAAACCTTACTGAAGTCTGAAAAGGTCTTGAGCAAGCTTACCTGGATCTGAAACAGAGTAAGATGGAAGCCACCAAGACTGATAAGGTGAAGAAATTAACTGAGGAAGTTATATACTGGAATGAGATGGAGGAAAATATGATGATGCAAAGAACTGAAATTGATTGGATTAGGTTAGGAGATGGTAATAATGCCTTCTTCCATGCCTACCTGAAAACTAAACAAAATTCTAAGAGAATGAATGTGATTCAGAAAGCAGATGGTACTATCCTCACATCTCAAAAGGATGTTGCTCAAGAGGTAATTGATTTTTATGGCAAGCTCATGGGACAAGACAGTGGCAATCTTCAGCATATTGACATTGAAGCTTTAAGAAGTGGTAGCCAACTCACCATGGATCAAAGATAATATGGTGATACCTATTACTCCTAAAGAATTTGATGATGCTTTGCATGGAATAGGTGATCTGAAGGCCCCGGGAGCTGATGGCTATAGTTCAAAAATTTTCAAGTCCTGCTGGCATATAGTGAAAGATGATGTTGTGGATGCAGTTAAGGAGTTTTTTGAACAAGACAGACTGTTTATTCCCTTCAACCAGACTGTGGTTACTCTGGTGTCAAAATCTGAGCAAGCTACCTCTGTGAAGGACTATAGACGAATTGTTGGATGCACAGCTTTTTGCAAAATTATCTCCAAGGCCCTCACAGTCATAATGGGTAAGGTGCTTCCAAGTATTGTGAACTTATCTCAGGATGCATTTATTCCTGGTCAGGTAATTCATAACCATATTATGTTGGCTTATGAGTTGATTAAGGGTTATAATAGGAAATGGGGGTACCCATAGGACTATGATTCAATTAGATATGCAAAAAGCATATGATATGGTGGACTGGTGTGCATTAGAGGCAGTGTTAAAGGAAATTGGTATGCCTGGGAGATTTACCCAATGCATTCTAACTGTGGTAAAAACTGTCACCTATACTTTTAATGTCAATGGGGAATCATCTGATTTGATGCATGCAAGAAGAGGAATATGACAAGGGGATCCCATCTCCCCCTCGCTCTATATGGTTATGATGGAGTATCTCAGTAGGTTGCTAGTGAAGATGCAACTGGATCCTAATTTTAATCATCATGCAAAGTGTGAGAAGCTGGGAATCACCCACCTCACATTTGCAAACGATGTGCTTCTGTTTTGCAGGGGTGACATTGGTTATGTTGAGAAGTTGCTAGAAGTGATTAATCAATTCTCAATGACTACTGGCCTGGTGGTGAATCCTAGAAAATGTAAATTCTATTGTGGTGGTGTGGATAGGGAAACAAAGAGCAAGATCCAGGAGATTTCTTCCTTTGTTGAGGGTCAACTTCCAGTGAGGTATCTTGGGGTGCCTGTCACAAGTAAGAAACTCAATGCTAATCATTACTTGCCTCTCATTGATAAGATAATGGCTAGAATCAGGCATTGGATATCAAAACTATTTAGTATGGCTGGTAGGATCCAAATGGTGAATTGTACTATAACTGCTATAATCCAGTTTTGAATGCAATGCTTACCAATTCATAAAAGTGTTATCCAAAAGATTGATAGTATGTGCAAGAGATTTGTGTGGACTGGTAGTGGTGAAAACAATAGGAAAAGCCCAGTAGCTTGGCATACTGTATGCAGACCTAAGTGCCAGGGTGGTCTCAATATTTTCAATCTAATGGAGTGGAACAAGGTAGCTATGCTAAAATGCCTTTTTTAATTTATGCAAAAAATTTGATAATCTTTGGGTGAAATGGATCCATATCCATTATATGAAAGGTATGACTGTTATAGAGACTGTGATTAATGCTAAAAGCTCGCTGCAACTGAAACAATATAGGGCGTTTGGCGTTACAGGAATGAAATGATATTTAGAAATAATAGTCAAATAAATAGTAGCATAGGTGTTAGTGAAGGAATCATAAAAACTATAATGTATAGAGGGTGGGGATCAAATAAGCTAAGAAAGCATATAGCTTTATTGAGGATATATAAATTATTTTGTCTTTTGAGTACGTTTGATCTATTGATCACCTTCTACCTAAATCTATTTTTTGAATTAATAAAATATTCTTGATTCAAAAAAATATATCATCTCCCCCATGTTACATGTCACTCACTTTATTCAATTCAACGAAGCTATCTTTTTTCAATAATTAAATCCCATTTATTATAAGTAAATAATTTTCATTAAGTATTATGCTGCTTTTATTTAGATATGACAACATATTTTATATTCGCGAGGATTTATTCAAATCCGTTTTAAATTTGACTAGAAAAATTCATTTTGACTGGATTTGAATTTATGTTTGAGTTTTACTCAATTACAAAATATAGAAATGAATCGGATAAATGTAATATTAGTATCTACCTCGAATTCGTTCAGTTTATTTTATTATATATTTTATTATGTATTTTATTAATTAATTTTGATAATTTATAATATTAAATATGTGATTAATGTATTGATATTTTGATTTGTATTTATTATTTAAAATATTTAAAATGTATAAATAAAATATTTTAAAATTATTTTATTTTATTATTAATAATTTAATTTAATTTTAAAATAAATAAATATTTCTATTAAAAAAATTAATTTTACTAAATAAATAATAGTGAAGTAGAAATAACTGAATCCAACTCAAATCCATTTAAAACGGATTTAAATTTTAATTATCTATCCCGAATAAAAATTAAGGTAAAAAATAAGAATTGATTAGAGATTTGAATTTAGATTCAGACATGCTGTATTGCCATGGCTCTTTCTATTCTACCAAAAAAACAAGTCTACACCTTAGGTTAATGCATGGGAGTATTTTATAGATATTTTCCATAGTGCGTAATTATTAAAAAAAATATAGATATTATTTGTCTTTTTTTGCTTGGGGTGGATTGGCTCTCCATTCTTTATTAAAAATTTAATGTTGCCTTTCTCCTTCACTTCACTTGAATATCTTGTGGTCAAGAAGAGTGGGAAACATGTTGCTTTCCTCCAATGTAGTGAAAAGATCAAACATCGATAATGATGGGTGGTTAATTTAATCTAATTTCGATATTATTTAAAGTTGGCACAGTTAAGTTAGGTGCAATACATGCCCATATTCAAGGGCACTCCATGTCCATATTTAAGAGAATGGTCGACCTAAATTCAAGTTTAGGATTTTATTTCTCATATTTTCAAATTAAAAATTGTTTCACATATTTAAATTTATCCTTCACTTTTTTTAGTTTAATTTTTAATTGATTATTATTATTATTAAAAATACTTCGCTTTAAATTAACAATTATTTCAAATACTTAAAACTCACTTTTTAAGCTATATTCTTGTAAAAATTTAAGATAAAAATCATTTGGTTTACGGTAATATAATGATTTTTATCTTAAATTTTTGCAAGAGTGTAATTTAAAAAATGAGTTGAAGATGACATTTTCCCAGAAGAAATTGGTTGGATGAGATTTGACATATCTTCTCCTATAATAAATTATGATTTAAAGGTTCTAGTATGATTGATCTTCAAAAAATTTAAAACCATACACGAGATCCAGCTTTGAAGCCACTGTGCTTTTTTGATTGATCTTAAAGGTTCTATCATTAGAATTTTTATTTAATAGTGCTCGGTTCATTTCAGGCCTTAGAAATCTTTTTTATCAATTTTGTTTGTTTACAAAAGTGTTTCATTTTCGTCCCTCTCCTAGAGATCACTCTGATTAGTCATGGACACTTGAACATCTCGTTTTTTACTGTCTAATTTTGCAAAACAATTGAATTGTTAGTACGTGAGACACTTTAGTGCGGAGAGAAAGAGACAATAATAAAAAAAATAAGAATTTATATTATTTATATACAATCTTAATTGAGTTTGGATTTACACAACTTGGATTATATTTAAATATTAAATATAATATAATCTAATATTTTAGCAAATCTAATTTAATATTTCAACACACCCTCATAAACTAAATTGCCGAACATCCTCAAAAATAGTCAATCTGAACTATTTCTAATTTCTTTCTCAAATTCAGGAATTTGTCAATCTTTAATTCTTTAGTGAAAATTTCAGTCAACCGTGATTCACTCGAGGAATGCCTTAATTCAAGTTCACTTTGATTTACTTTTTCCCCCGAGAAGTGAAATTTTGCTTTAATATGTTTACTTCTTCCATACATAACTGAATTCTTCGCCAGATTTATGACTGACTTGTTGTCGATTAACAATACAAGAGGTTTCTTCACTCCGACCTTCATTTCTTCAAGTACATATCTGATCCAAATTGTTTGACATGCAACATATGATCCTGCTATATATTCAGCTTCGCAAGATGATAATGCCACCACAGGTTGTTTCTTCGAACACCATGAGATTGGGGCACCAAATACTTGAAAGAAATATCCAGTTGTGCTTCTTCGATCTTCCTTATTTCCACACCAATCAACATCTGAAAAACAATTAATTATTGCTTCTTTGTCTTCAGAATCTCGTCGAAATAGTATTTCATAGTTTATCAAACCCTTCAAATATCTCAGGATTCTTCTTGCAACCTTCATATGTGACACTCTTGGTTCACTTATATATTTGCTTACTAATCCTACAGCGAAACCTATATCAGGTCGACTGTTGCACACATATCTCAGAGATCCCATAATTTGCTTGAACAAAGTTACATCGACTTTGTCTTCCTCTACATTCATCTCCAATTTTACATTTGGTTCGACAAGTCAGGATGTAGGATTTGAATCATCCATTTTGAACCTCTTGAGTATTTCTTTGACATACTTCCTTTGATGTAGCACCATACCTTGCTTCGACATTTGAAATTCCATACCTAAGAAATAAGACAATTTTCCCAAATCAGACATTTCAAATTCCTTTATCATCAGCTCTTTGAACTTTGACAAGTTCTTCAAGCTATTTCCAATTACTAGCAAGTCATAAACATATAAGCAGATGATTGTTATATCTTATGCTACAACCTGAACATAGACACCATACTTAGATTTGCATTTGACAAATCCCAATTCGACTAAGTATGAGTCGATCTTCTTGTTCCATGCCCTAGGTGCCCGCTTGAGGCTATAAAGCGCTTTGTACAACTTATATACTTTACTCGCTTCCATCTGAATCACAAACTCTGGAGGTTGTGTTACATAGACCTCTTCGTCTAAAGGACCATTCAGAAATGCTGATTTCACATCTAAATGAAATGCCGACCAGCCTTTGTTGCATGCCAATGCTACCACTAGTCGAACAATCTCCAATCTTGCTACTGGAGAAAATACTTCAGAGTAGTCGAGTCCTTCTCTTTGAAGAAACCCTCGAGCTACTAATCTTGCTTTATGTCTTGTTATCGAGCCATCAACATTATGTTTCAACTTGAATATTCGTTTTACTTCGATAGCTTTTGTATGTGCTGGCAATTCGACTAACTCCCATGTGTTGTTTCTTTCGATTTCCTGTAACTCTTCAACCATAGCTAACTTCCATTGTTTAGTCTTCAAAACTTCACTATAGTTAATTGGTTCAACACCTGCAAGTAAAGCAAAATGAACTAATTCTCCATATGATGTGACTCCATCATCACCCACCATTTTGTAATCGTGAAGCCTTGTTGGAAGAACTATATTTCTTTGAGGTCTTTGGCTTGTTTCAGCCATAGTCTCTTCGACTTCGACTGTGTCGGGAATGTCAGCAACTGCTTCTTCTTCGACTTCGATTGGATTCTCAATAATTCCTTCGACCTCTACTTCATTAGTTTCTTCATCGATATTAGAACTCGTCAATGGCTTGTTAATTGGATTGCTAGAATTCTAATCCTAGGCAGAATTTTCATTAATCACAATATCTCGACTCAACACAATCTTCTCATTAACTAGATTGAATAGTCTGTATGCATCAGTTTTATGATATCCTACCAAAATCATAGGTTCATTCTTGCCATCAAGCTTCCTTCTTCTTGCATCAGGAACATTCTTGTAACACGTAGAGCCAAACACCTTCAAATGACTCACTGATGGTCGTTTGCCTCTCCATACTTCTTTCGGAACTTTGTTCTTCAATATCTTCGTAGAACACCTATTCAAAATATAAACTGCAGTCGAAATAACTTCTCCCCATAAAGACTTTGGAGAATTCTTTTGCTTCAGCATGCATCTCGCCATATCTAATATGGTTTTGTTTCTTATTTCAACAATTCCATTATGTTGAGGTGTATAAGGAGCAGTTACCTCATGACCAACATCATGTTCTACACATAAATCTTTAAATATCTTGGATGTGTATTCGCCACCTTCATCTATTTGCAGAACTTTGATCTTCTTCCCACTCTGGTTTTCGACAAGTATCTTGAATCTCTTAAAGATTTCGAATACTTCATCTTTTTGTTTGATCAACTAGATCTATAACTTTTGACTAAACTCATCAATAAACGAAACAAAATATCTATTTCCACCAATTATATGTTCTTCAAATGGACCATATACATATGAATGTACCACTTCGAGTATGCAAGATGATCT